TGTCCCGTTAGAAATTGATGTCCGTAATTGTCTGTATGCAGCGATATGAACTAGCCGTCAAAAGACATGACATCCACTCCCTAATATTGCTACATACAAACAACCATGGACATCAATTTGACTGGGACAACGTTCAAATATTAGACAGAGGAAACACCGAGAATGCTAGAGAATTTTGAGAAGCCTGCGTGGTATTCCAGTGAGTCATCAATCAATAGACACATCGAGATAGACAAAATTTACCAATCGATAAGAAGGAAATCTCACACACAGAGGGTCAAAGTTCAAGTCAGGGAAACAATCAGCTCCAATACGAGTAGCCCCCAGAGGGTGTGAAAACGCACAAAAACAACCATTCACACTCAAGGTCACCAGAAGAGATGAATTATAAACTCGTGGAGAAATCTAGGGGCTTGCTTCAATAAATTGGAGTATCCGCTGTGGTGAGGATGTTGCCTAGTAGGGCAATGAAAGTTTCGCAAATAAACCATCCAGCTTAGAGAACACAACTACATCAAAATCATCCACTTGAGCCACAAATCCTCTCCATTATATTTAAGTCTGTTTTTGTCTCTCTCTCTCTCTCTCTCTGTTATCTTCCTTTGTGTATTGCATGGAGTGTGGTAGGTTGAACTGGTGCATTTCTGTGCAAAGTTCTAAGTAGCGTTTTAGCGTTCACAGTCTGTTAGGTCGTATTATCGGTTATATATAACAGCAGTAACGCATACTCTGATACTGTTATCTACTTCATTGCTTAATCTATATTGAAGTATACTTTCTCAATACTGATTCTTACAGAAAACAGAATAGGATACAATGTTAAATTGAGGTCAATATAAGAAAAAAAAGTACCAATAAGTAAATAGGCTCTTGAAATATATGTAAGATTTTATTAACCGCTATTTATTTATTTATTCTCGGTGTTTCCTCTGTCTAATATTTGAACGCTGTTTGTCTCAGTCAAATTGATGTCCATGGTTTTTTGTATGTAGCAATATTAGGGAGTGGATGTCATGTCTTTTGACGACCAGTTCATATCGCTGCATACAGACAATTATAGATATCAATTCAACTGGAACAACTTTCAAATATTAGACGGAAGAAACACTAAGAATGCTAGAGAATTTTGAGAAGCCTGCGTGGTATTCCAGTGAGTCATCAATCAATAGACACATCGAGATAGACAAAATTTACCAATCGATAAGAAGGAAATCTCACACACAGAGGGTCAAAGTTCAAGTCAGGGAAACAATCAGCTCCAATACGAGTAGCCCCCAGAGGGTGTGAAAACGCACAAAAACAACCATTCACACTCAGGGTCACCAGAAGAGATGAATTATAAACTCGTGGAGAAATCTAGGGGCTTGCTTCAATAAATTGGAGTATCCGCTGTGGTGAGGATGTTGCCTAGTAGGGCAATGAAAGTTTCGCAAATAAACCATCCAGCTTAGAGAACACAACTACATCAAAATCATCCACTTGAGCCACAAATCCTCTCCATTATATTTAAGTCTGTTTTTGTCTCTCTCTCTCTCTCTCTGTTATCTTCCTTTGTGTATTGCATGGAGTGTGGGAAGTTGAACGGGTGCATTTCTGTGCAAAGTTCTAAGTAGCGTTTTAGCGTTCACAGTCTCTTAGGTCGTATTATCGGTTATCTATAACAGCAGTAATGCATACTCTGATACTGTTATCTACTTCATTGCTTAATATATATTGAAATATACTTTCTCAGTACTGATTCTTACAGGAAACAGAATAGTGTACAATGTTAAATTGAGGTCAATATAAGAAAAAAAAAGTACCAAATAGTAAATAGGCTCTTGAAATATATATATAAGATTTTATTAACTATTATTTATTTATTTATTTTATTAACCTTTCTGTTCTCTTTTAATTAAGTCTACAACTTTTGCCATTGGCAAGTTGATCATTTTATTTTTGAAATAAGGTCAATACTTATTGAGGTGTATTCACTTCACTAATTATTAATTAGGTTTGTTATTTCCCTAATTTTCACTTAATGGAATGTAGTTTCTGGCTGTGCTCATAATCAACTTATAGATTCCGTTCTGTTTATTTATTTATTTATTTATTTTTAATAGTTGGTTTATAAAGATTAGATTTGTTTTTACGAGTTTGACCACGGATTGATATCAGTTAGAGAACCATTGAAAACCAGAACTGGAGTACTGAATAGCTGTTTCATCATAGTTTGGTAATCATCGGCAGTACGCACTCACCGTCAAGGTTTGAACCCAGGACCTTCCGATCACAAGGCAAGCTGCCTCGTATACTATTCAGCCACTGGCACCTGATTCAATGGCCAGCCCATGAATTCTAACTTCTAGCAATTCGTGATTTTTGGCGCGACCACCAACCAGTGTCATCGGTGAGACATGCATCCTCACACTTGACTGGATGGACCTCACTGGTCACGACTTCTCACTAGAACTCCAGGAAACTCCGTCTTGTAGCAACGAACCCCAGTGGATGCGTAATGCCGATGATTCCCAAACTAGCGGGATGAAACAGCTGTCCAGTACTCCCTGGTTTTCAGTGGTTCTCTAGCTGATATTAATCCGTAATCAACTCGTAAAAATATTTATTTATTTAAATTTGGAATCTGTCTGTCTGTTTTCGACATAGAACTTTGCACTGATGTGCGGCAGTTCAAGTCGCCACACTCCCTCCTTGTAGCACACAAAGGAAGAGAAGAAAGTAGGAGAAATGCATAATATAGACAGTAAACAGAGGTGTGAGACAAAGGAGTAGTAATAACGAAGAACAAAACAGTTTCATCGGAAATCATAAGTCACAAGGAGCGGATGCATCTGCGCCACTGAGAACGATTTTGAGCCATGTCACCAATTGTTTCCAACCATTGGTTTTTACCGTCCCGAGGACCCCAACCAGGAAGTCTACATCTCCCTATATGACTTAGACTAACTGTTGTGGAATAAGTGAAGTTAGTCAAAAAAACCACCCTGTAATCCAGAATCTAAATATCCAATATCTTCTGCTGTTTAGTGGCTCTAGGATAGATGTTCTGAATTTCTAAGGTGAAGTTGTAATCAGTGAAGACCACCATGTCTACTGTGAAATGAAGACTAATCAATGGAGGACATTGGTTGCTGGTAGCGGTACATTGTAAGTTGATGCGACTCTGACCAAAATTAGTGTCTGGATGGATGATCAACTAACTTACCACGTCACCTGAAGATCTTAGGTTTGATCCGTAGTGAGATGCGTGGGTGTGTTGTACTGCTGAAGACTTCCGAACTAGAACAAAGATACTGTCCAGTTTTCCTTCATTTTTTATGCTTCTCTAACTGATGTGTGTTCATGACGAAGCCTTCACTGAAATTAATTTAAATCCCTACCAAATAGCTTTAGTTCATTTTCTAGTGGATGAGTATCTATCTACACAGTTGTTGAAATTCGAATCCTAGTAAAAAAAACACTGTATTCAAATATTGATTAGGTTTTAATGGTCATTTGATACAGAGAAATATTGAGAAACCGGGGAGCACGAGGTATCCTTTTCGTTCTTTGCAAAGAATGAAATCGAGAGCTTCCATTTTGTTGGTGACGATTAGAGTCAAACCCATAAGCTAAATGGTAACATCCGACTCCCTATAATCACGAGATCCTAAGTTAAAATCCCGGTGGATTTGTCAGTGCACACTGCTACTTTTCCAAATCAGGATAGAACAATTCTCTTGTATTCCAAGGGTTTCACTGTCGATTCTTGACGAAATTTACGGTTGGTGATGAAAAAAGAGTTTACTAGAAGTATTCATTTCTGCTAAAATCTGCTGGAATGGAAATTGGATAGCCTATTATCAATAATTACTTGAACACTACAACCTATTTTCACATGGAAACCTACTTACTACTTTTTTTAATTTTATTTTGTATGTCTTATCGATTGGCTCTGTTGACACATGTCGGCTCCTAGTTAGTACTGGCGCTTTGACGATGTCTGGCAGTTTATTTCTTATTTTTATTAGTTTATTCTTTTGCGCTGCGAGTGGAACACACGGCCCCAAGCTTAAGCTTTGAATTTCTGGTAGCAGCGGTTTTTATTTTCACTGGTTGGGGTAGCTAGTCTTACGCCCAACCCTCCCTTTTTGTCGGTCTTACAACCGGCTAAAAGAATTAATGGTGTGGGTAACTCTAAACAATAGTGACCGAAAACGAAACTACCTAATAAACGGACGCAGTGACCTTGAGAAACCAATGAGATGAGTCCGTAGTTTATAGGTGGAATTATGGATGCCGTACACGAATCACCTAGCAGATTTCATCCAAATCTGGTATTTAAGCACCCTGTGCATAACAAGCTCATAGGAAGGAAGAAGACAAGTAGGTGTGGAGGAGTAATGCATTTACAGAGATTAAAGTCTCTATTGATGGGGTTGTGTTCAGATGCCCAGACTGCCTTTCAATGGAACACACAAATTCCATGGAAAGTTTATGGAGTCACTTAAAAAAGAGGATCAGAGCAGTGAATGGGTCAAGAAAAATGATGATTTATAGTTATCTGGACGAATTTATGTATAGAAACTGGTTTGGCCTATCTATGAGGACTCCAATGAGAAATTGGGAGGTTTTCTTGTAACACATACTGAAACACGTCACCCTACGTTTTTAAATTACGCACTTTTACTTTGAACTCATGTGATTAGTCGATAGGGATTTCTCAAGGTCTTTATTACGTAGTTTCGTTTTGGGTTGCTCTAGTTCAGTTACCGAGGTATGTACCGACCGGGAGTCGAACCCCGAGCCACGTTCATAGTTGGTGAGCATTCTAACCCTGAATGACCAATGCACTGCCTGTATCCAAGATACGCATTTCATATTGTTTTCTTCAAATTCACTAGATTATTGATCTATTGAAAGATGGAAAAGTTTTTAAGATATCACACACATCTTCATATTTTTTTTTAAACGAAAATTTAATTTATCTTTCTTTTCCGTTGTACTTTTATATATTGTAGACAAAACTTCATTCACAGACACGTTATTTTGTGAGATTTCCATTTTTAACAGATGAAGAATTCTCTAATTGGATTGTTACAACAGATAGTTCATCGAATGAAGGTTATTCATGGGCAGAATTTGTACGATCGAATAGATCAGCTCCAGGTTGTGCTAAAGCACTGGGTATGAATGAAAGTGTTTATCCAGATGAAACAAATTCAAAGATACAGACTATTTCATCATTCGATGATACTAACAAGGATCATTCATTTGGTTACACTAATCCAGTAGTTTAGTAAGTTCAATATATATATTGATTATTTGTATTCTATTCTAAGGTGGTAGATCGCTAACTCCTCACATCAATTAAAGAACCATTGAAAACCAGAGAGTACTTACTGGTCAGCTATCAGATCTTAGTTTGGGGAGTTTTCAACAGTATGCACCAGTTACCCCCACTGGAGATCAAACTGAAAAACCTTCAGGTTACGAGGAGAGCCTATTGTGACCAACCAGTCACTGGGAAGAAATCCAATGGCCCACCAATTCTAAATTCTGCCATTTCACGATATGTAAAGCCACCACACTCATACTCGACTTGATGGACCTCAATGGTTAAAATTCATGAACTTTTGAATTCCACATCAGTGGCTGAGATGACCAAGAGCCAACACCTTGAAACCTGTATGTGGTGGGTTGGATCCCTCAGTGGAATTATGCATTATGCCTACTGTTGAAGAGTGCCAAGCTAGGATGAAACAACTGGTTTTTAACGGTTCTCTAGTTGATGTCAATTCGTGATCTAACACACGAAATCGATTAAATCCCTGTAAGCCAACCTTTGAGTATTTGTAAATACTTTAATATGAATGCAGTCAACACTGTCACTATCATTTCGAGTTATTTAGTTGTTTTTTTAAGCTAACTTGTATACACTCTGGTTAAAACAGCTTCTTGTGGTTAGAAATTGAGTGAAATGGTGAGCCAGTTTGCAATCACTTTGACTAGCGAAAATTCTTAATGCCAGCTTCTTTTAAGATCAATATTGTTCTCCGATTATTCGGTAGCCAATAAGGTGATGAATGAAGTTTCAGTAAAAAAAACATATCTCTAAACTATTCCTAACCAGAATTTTATCGCATTATTGACCGATTTATGAGGCATGCGATTCGCCCCTGTAAAATGTAAGATGATGCTGCAGGATGGGACTACACCGACCCCTATATTAGAAATAGGAAGTGAAGTGGTAGAGCATGTTGACCGCTTCACTTACTTGGGAAGTACCATCAGACCCAACGGGTTGATCTCCGATGAAATCTCAGCACGAATGCAGAGCGCTAGTTTCGCATATGCCAGTTTACCCCGTCTCTGGCGTAGACGTGATATCCGACTATCGACCAAAGGGCGTGTGTACTGCTCAACAGTCCACTCCATCCTCATTTATGGCTGTGAGACCTGGCCATTGAGAGCGGAAGACATGAAAAGATTAGCTGTGTTCGACCATAGGTGTCTGCGTTCTATCTCCCGAGTGAAGTGGTAGAATAAGGTGAGCAATATTGAGGTTAGGCGTCGAGTGCCAGTTACGTGGGATGGGAAATTAATCGACGAGACTGTGAAATTACATCGACTGAGATGGTTTGGACATGTGCTACGTATGCCTAGTCATCACCTTCCTCAACAATGGGCAATGTTAACTGGTATAGGGCCAGGCTGGAAAAGAGCTAGCAGCGGTCAAACGAAAACATGGCACCAGTTAATGAAATCCACAACAGTTAGTCTAAGCCAGCCACGTAGGAAGGTGTAGACTGGCTTCCTGGTTGGGGTCCTCGGGACGGTAAAAACCAATGGTTGGAAACAATTGGTGACATGGCTCAAAATTGTTCTCAGTGGCGCAGATGCATCCACACCTTGTGATTTATGAATTCAAATTAAACTGTTTTGTTCTTCGTTATTACTATTCCTTTGTCTCACACCTCTGTTTACTGACTATATTATGCATTTCTCCTACTTTCTCCTCTTGCTTTGTGTGTTGCATGGAGTGTGGCGACTTGAACTGCCGCACATATGTGCAAAGTTCTATGTCGAAAACCGACCGACTGACCATCTTTCGATTCAATCTAAATTTCATTTCACTCGCTTAAGATCAAACTCAGTTGTCATTTGGATGAAGGATGATGCATCATCACAGTTACTACTCTTAGTTCCACTGTGGTGATAGTCATAGGCTGAACACTCAAACTTCAGCTACTGATTCCCTTGTTCGAATCCTGCTTTGCCTACTTCTTCTTGGGCACCTAGGCAGTGTCACCAGCCGTCATATGTAATTAAGTGTGTCTCACAGCCAGATGTCAGCTGAGGACCAAGTAACATCCAATTCCAATCTTATTCCAAGTAACTGAGTGATTATTGGTGAGATTATCTTTGGGGAGTTTTGGTTTTTCAAGTTTATGATTCTCTGTACTTAACTAATGCAGGATGATGATTCTCTCCATCCTCACGGTTACTGAAGACATCTGGAACACTTTTTCGTGGACAATAACGATAGACTCATGTGTCTTAATACAGTCTTCTGGAAGAAGAAGCTAGCTATTGCATTCACTTCAGCAAATTTGACAGACAGTAGTACGTCATAAGCCCACTAAGTTTATTTCATTATCAAAAGCGTATTTATACTATTCAAAATTATGGGAGATACCCATCAGGAAATTACAGAGAATAGAGATTCTCTCTAATATCCTAATAACTATTTTCTGTAACAACGAAGTGAATAAGGTGTAGTTTTAAATAAATATCTGTCGTCGCCTCCTTTGTTTTATTCACTCAGACAATCATTTTGCTCCAGTAGTACATCTCCATTGCAATCGATTCCTAACCATCACTTTCAGTGGGCTTTGCCACTGATTATAAGCCTTCATTTCCCCTTCATATGGTCTTTTCCATGCTACCGTCGGACACAGAATTCATTACTCTCCATTTGGATTCCACCTGGTGACCTGGCATATGATGTCACTTGAAGTTCTCCTTATTGTATATCCATTCCTGACTGATTGACTGATTGAGTTTCAACACAGAACTCCGCACAGAAGTGTAGACATTGGACTTGCTAAATTCCCTGTGTCTAGTGCATCTCCATTTCCTTTTGTATATGTTTTGGATGGGTAATAGATTGCTGGCTAACAGAGTTCCTTGTTCCTCTTACCCTTTCTGGCATGTCATCTTGTTTTCAGTATTGAATGGAGGCAGCTTGTTAAACAAATAGTCATTCTCTATAGCCTTATCCTGATTTGTTCACCTGAGATGTGGCATAGTGTAGCACATAGATCAACTCTACGCAGCATTGGTTACAGGATTTGATCATGAGCTGACATCGGTTAGAGAACCATTGGAAAACCTACAGGGAGTACTGGGAAGCTGTTTCGTCCTAGTTTGGGACTCTTCAGTAGTACGCATCCACCGCCAGCGTTCGAACCCAGGACCTTCTGGTTACAAGGCGAGCTCGTAGACCATTGAGCCACTGGGACCCGATCCAATGACCAGCCCATGAATTTTAACTTCTGCCAATTCACGACATAGCGCGACCGCCAACCAATGTCTTCGGTGAGTATTTGTCTTCACACCCGACCTGCTGCACCCTACTGGTCAAGACTTCCCACTAGAACTCCGGATAACTGCCTACCTGAATAGGGCATCTCATCGATATTCAAGTGCGCAGCATAGTTTACTAATTTTTTTTAATTCTTTGGGTTCCGAATAGATCATAGGGCTTCAGTAGTTTACTAGTGGCTAGACGAGATTTAGGAGTGCATCTGCCGGGAATCGAACCCAGACGACGTGCGTGGTTGGCAAGTATTCCACTTTTGGTACATGTTCAAAAAGTTGAGGGTGTACCTTTCTTTCTATTCTTCCATACAGTTAACATGGTAAGGGTATCTGTGGACTTTTGATTGCATCAAAGTTTCATGTTTTCTGATAACCGGGAACCAACTTAGCTGCAGGATAGGTTCTGACTATTGAGGTATTCAATCTTCGGTTGACTTTTCCTGAAGACGGACTTTTTTCCACCGTGATTTATCTATGTAGCATTTCAGCCTTCACATCTTCCATACTTATTAATGAATTTCTGAGGGTAACTGTTGTTTTCCAACATCTTTTCGAAAATCAGAAATTCTTCCTCTAATTTTCCTCTAGAACATATTCTCCTGACTCTATGAAACTACTGATCAGTTATGAAAGCTCCCGTATACTTTTATTTTCAAATCACTTATTTATTTTAATATAGCAAAAATATTCATTCAGACATCTATAAAACACAAAATGATTGAACAAAGAATATCTTTTTCGACAAATTCCTCTTCTGGCTCTACATTTATATATATGCTTATATACAGCCTCTTCATACCGAGTTGGTGAAACACAGTGTAAAGGATACTTTTGGATTTGTTGAAAGGATAAAAGATTTAAATGTTGACAATAAATTCATGATATCATTTGACGTATCTTCCTTATTCACCAATGTACCACTTATGGAAACAGTGGACTTTATATGCGAAGAACTCATAAGACGAAACATCGATGTTGACATTCCTATATCTTTTATGAAAGAGCTTCTCTTGAAATGCACAATGAATGTCCACTTTTTATTTAATAAGGAACTATATAGACAAATCGATGGTGTGGCAATGGGGTCACCACTAGGACCCATTCTAGCCGACATTTTCCTTGCGAAACTAGAAAATGGGCCTTTGAAGGATGTTATTAATGAACTCGAATTCTATTGTCGGTACATGGATGATACATTTTTGATTATGAAAAATGAGAAGGAAGCAAAGAACATCCTGGATAAATTTAACGAGGTTCATCCTGCAATAAATTTTACTATTGAGAAAGAAAAAGACTCTAGTATTTCATTTCTAGACGTCCTTATGACCAGAAAAGAGGATGGCACAATAAGAAGAAGTGTATATAGAAAACCTACATCAACGGGTCAGTATACTCATTTTCTCAGCTTCGTGCCCTTGAAATACAAACGCAATCTGATAAAGTGCTTGGTTCACAGAGCAAGAGCAATTTGCTCGGATGAATGTCTTGATGAGGAACTTAATAATATTAAACGGTTGCTAAGTGAAAATGGTTATCCAGAAAAGTTTATTGATAAGAATATGAATCTAAAATCAAAGCAGCCCAAGTTACCAACAGTTCCTAAAAAGGCCTTATTCTTACAAATGCAGTTCCTTGGGGACAACATCAGCGAGATACTAACACAGCGCCTTAGAAATGCGGTAAAAAGAGCATTCCCTGCTGCCGAATTACTGTGTCTTCAAAACCACTCCTCTTTTGCGTTCGGGAGTAAAAGACAAACTGCCTAATTTCGCCTCTTCCATGTGTATCTACCAATTTAACTGCTCCTGTGGAGCCAGTTACATAGGCCGTACAATTAGGCGTGTTTCTCGTCGGATTTCCGAACATCACCCTGCTAGTGGTTAAGTAAAGGACAAACAAAATCTATTCGTAGCGCTATTCTATCTCATCTTGTGGATACAGAACACAAGATTGATGTTAACCATGCTTTCAGGGTCATTTACCGCATACCTACGAATCTCAATTTTGCCTTAAGAGTTCGACTACTAAATATTGCTGAGGCTGTTGGGATCCATATTAACAAGCCTAATTTGTGCATCCAAAAGAAGTTAGTTCAGACATTATCCTTACCTTGGCCATCTAGGTTTGAATGATCCTCAATTTTTGTGGAATTTTCCTAATTTTAGTTGATATTCTATTTGCTACTATATCTTTATTATTATTATTATAATTAAAGCATCTTTAATGAACTGTAATTGCATTGATCTTACTTTACAAATCGATATTATTTAAAAAACACTAATATTGTTATTGACTACTAATCTAGAATATTCTATGTATATAAGCATATATATAGATGTAGAGCCAGAAGAGGAATTTATCGAAAAGGATATTCTTTGCTCAATCATTTTGTGTTTTTTATTTATTTTATTCTTTCTTTTTTAAAAATTCGAAATGTGTTTAATTTTTGAATGTCATTTATGTCGCTTTTCTTCATATTTGCTGACTGTTTGTTCAACCCTCGCTACCCAACCTACCGTTTTGTTTTAATTTCATATTTTAGCCCAAAATTATCATTTCGACCTGCAAGTAAACAGGCTACATCTGATGCAGTTGTAACAACATCAACTGATTCATTGTTTAAAGGTTATGGACATTTTCGTGGTTTTATTAGTACACGTGTACCTAAACGCGGGGATCTTGTTCGTGCTGGTTTTGCAAGTCTTACAAGTCCAGAGAGTAGATTATTTGGATTTGTACTACCTTATGGTCTTCAAGCTTATTCACATATGGTAATCAGGTATGAATTATTTATATGTATGATGATAGTAGTAAAATTTGGTGCCTTTTTTTTAGATATAATTTGATATTCTTGACTAGGTGATTTTAAATGGTATTCGTTAACAGATTGCTTTCAATAGTTAGTTTGTAGGGATTCGATTTGTTTCAAGGTTGACTACTGAATTGATATCAGTTAGAGAACCATTAGAAAACCATCTGGGAGTACTGGACAGCTGTTTCGTCCTAGTTTGTGACTCTTCATCAGTACGCATCCACCATTGCTCAAATCCAGAACCTTTCGTGTACATGCCGAACGCGTAGACCATTCAGCCACTGGGACCTGATTCAATAGCCAGCCTATGAATTCCAACTCCTACCAATTCGTGATTTTAACGCGACCACCAGCCAGTGTTATTGGCGAGTATTTTTCCCCTCACTCCTGACAGGATGGACTGCACTTTTCATGACTTCTCACTAGAACTCCAAGCAATTTCTTCCTGTAGTAAGGCCTTAGTGAGTACTAATATGCCGTGGTTTTTCTAGGCGTTCTCTAAATGATCTCATCTCGCGATCGGACCTGTAACCGATGTATTTGTTTAGTTAGTTGTATTAACTTTTTTTTGGTTAACAGTCTACTCATGTAGATATGTGAACTAATTAATAAAAGAAACAGTTGGACTGTAGTTTTACGATAGTCAGGTATTAATACATGACTCGGGACTGATAACAGGTGTCTTGCTTCAGTTTGTGAAAGTCGAGTGAGTTTATTGATAAGTCTTCGTACAGGAAGACCATAAGTCATATTAATATATGTGCCCAAGTTTTACACATATATTGATAACAGGTGTCTCTTAACTTAATGAAAATTGGTTATTGTGTTTTTGAGTCTCTGTAAACAGGGATAGTTTAGCTTGATTCATATATATACATATATATATATATATGCGTCGGTGGCACAGCGGTTAGGAGGTTCGCCTACCATTCACATGGTCCAGGGTTCGATCCCCGGCCGACGCACTCCTTTACCTCGCTAAGCCAGAAATAGAGCTGGTAAAGAGGAAAGGTTGGACATGACGCTAGCAACCCCATTGTGTAAAAATAAACACTGCTACAGAAACTTCAAGCTAGAGGCTTGAAGCCCTATGTTCCACTGGGAACGTCAAGGAAGAAGATCAACAGTATGAATTACAAAAATATTCGGGAAAAGAAGCCAGATTCACAAATATTGATCAATCAAAGAAAATGGAATAAGTTGAATATCCACATATTCAGTGAAGATTATTTTGCAGATTTCAGTGCGGATTTCGTCATGAACCAAGATTAGTTATAAAGATCATTGAAAACCATACAGTACTACTGAACAGCTGATTGGTTTGTGATAAAAATCTAACAATTGGCATTGATCCAAAATTTCAGCAAATCCTATAATCTAAATATCAATTTCCAGCACATTGATGGGTGCTACTGGCTGTAAATCCCGAAACAGTACTAAGAAATCGTGATCAGTGGGTTTTACCATCTGAAGGTGAAGTGGTTGCTCATAGAAGCGCTATATCCACTGGTCATTGATTTCTGTCCCATGTGGCTGAATAGTGGACGAGCTTGGTCTTGTTGCCTGAACGTCCTGGATTCCTTTACCTTTTGAAGGTGTGGGTTTGGACTTATGAGGAATCTTAGGCCGGGAAGAAACCACTGTCCAATGCTCCCTGGTCTTTAATCATCTCTAATTAGTGTCGGTCTGTGACGTAACCTGCACTGAAATGAATCCAAACCTGATGCAGAAACCTATAATATAATGAAACTATGTCAATCTGAAAGATCACTGAAGGTGTCGCACCTTGACTAGAAAGGAAGCAGATCAAAACTACCTGAATATTTTCAAATATGTTTCGTATATATCAGTAATGTAGTACGTGTGTGTGTATGTGTAACGAAATCACAGTTAATCTCTACTTTTTTTTACTGTACCCTTTCTTAGATATCGTGGAGATGGTAGAAATTATCAAATTGTTGTCCTGCCTCGTCCAAAATGGGATTTTGATCAATTCAGTGGACATCAATTCACTTTGTATACACGAGGTGGACCATATTGGCAAATTGCTAAAATCCCATTATCGAAATTCTATCGTACTTATACAGGTTTTGTGCATACAAGACAATCACCTATTAATACGTTAAATATGCGTCTTATGTCATTCACCCTAATGGATAACATTGAAGGTCCATTTAGCCTAGAATTGGATTATATTGGTTTTTATTATGATAATGAACAAAGTGATGAATTTGATTATGAAAAGTATAGTAAATCAGGAATGATGCAATAACTGTTTACTTATTTTTCTAATTATTAAACTTTTTTCCAAACTATTCTTCTTCTTATTCCTCTTTCTATGTTTTATTACAATTGTGAAAATCTTCTTTGTGTACAGATTAATAAGATAAAATCATTTTTTCCTTCGAAAATCTTATCTGCTTTTGGGTTGAGAATATTTCTTGGTGACATAGTGTCGATGGTCTATTCGTAAACATTCAGTCAGATTCAGTAATCGGTATTTTATCATTAAGGTTATTAAAGTACTAGAATCTCAGCCTACTTAAGCATGAATGGTAGACATTAGTAAGGCGAAGAACACATAGAGAAATCTAGATTTACTTATATTGTGGTGAGAGCTGGCTGCTAGCTAAATTGGTAGACAGTAATTTACGTCAATGTTTATGTCCCCAATATTGGTCGTGAGAAAAATAAGACTGACTCAACAACGAGTCACAGCAGACTTTGAGTAGGTGGATACAATTTGTAGATAGATGATCTAACATTCAAGAAACAGTCACAAAGAGATGAAAGATTAACTTTCAGCGAGAAACCACCAATCAGAGGACTGTGTTTGTCTGCTAACAATAATCTATAATAATGTACATGAATATCTATAAATATCTGTTGATTTCCTAGATAAACGATCTGTTGCCTGGCCCTTGTCTTCTGTTGTTACATTTGGTGTCGCTGCCTACCAACAAATAGAGAGCCTATGCCCTGCAGTTTTTGATGGAGACATATGGATCTTCGGGCAGGACTTCGAGGCTTCTGTGCAGTTGATTGGCGTTCAAGACCTGTCAGTGATGAGGCAGTTACTTGGGACGCTGCTGGGAGGTCGACAGAAGGCAGCATATGAAAGTGTGAGGCGAAATACTGACGAATGTGCGACAGGGTCAGGCAAACAGTTTCCAAAGTGGGAAGGACCACATATGGTCACTTTGAGATGGGGTTACGCAGATGCAATCGCAATGGTAAACAAAAAGAAACAGGTGAACATTAGAGAGCGCCGAGATTCCAGACAGCAAGACAAACGAACAAAGCCCCTAGAACCAAGAAGACCGAACCAACGTCAGTCGCAATTCTTTCACGGGGGTCGAGTGTAGTGAGAGCTGGCTACTAGCCAAATTGGTAGACAGTAATTTTCATCAATGCTTACGTCCCCAATATTGGTCGTGAGAAAAATAAGACTGACTCAACAACGAGTCACAGCAGACTTTGAGTAGGTGGATACAATTTGTAGATAGATAATCTGAACTTCAGTAAACGGCCACAAAGAGATGAAAGATTAACGTTCAGCGAGAAACCACCAATCAGAGGACTGTGTTTGTCTGCTAACAATAATCTATAATAACGTACATGAAAATCTATAAATATCTGTTGATTTCCTAGATAATCGATCTGTTACTTGGCCCTTGTCTTCTGTTGTTACAATATATGTAGCAGTATGTAAACACGACAATAAGACATTATACGGTTGGAGGCAATCGACAGGAAGCTCAGCCTGACCTAGGTTTTGTGCTATTTGGCACTCATCGGTCAGCAAGGCGTATCTGCAATCTCAAATGAACTCATGTCCCTTCTGAGACTCGGACTCGCGTCACTAGCCAGTGCTGCAGTCAGAGACGTTAACACTGGGCTATTCAGGCTCGCGATTGACCTCCTGTAGGACTGTATTGGATATTTTTGATTGGACACTAGTCAGTAACTAGTGTAATGTGTGTGTGTGTGTGTGTCTAATAGCCAATGCGATAGCGAGCCACCTAGCATTGTGGCCGCGTTGTAAACTTGATTGGTAGATTTCAGCCAGCACCTAAGATAGGACTAGGTACACACATTACATTAGTTACTGACTAGTGTCCAGTCAAAAACTACAATAAGGTATTTATACAGCTATATATATTGGATAGATAGAGTCAATCATGACTAGATGTCCGCTTTTTGAATCAATAATAGGAGTGGTTCAGGACTTTTCTGTCTTGGTTATTTGGGGGGGGGTCTATCTATATTTATTGGAAATACGTAGTATGAACACTTCTAGTGACTTTGGTCTGTTTGATGCAATTGTTCACTTTGTTAGTATTTCTTTACAAATAATTACACATACAAACAACGGTGATAAACATTCTATTATATCTATGCAAGCATAAGTAAACTTTATTTTAACGTGAGTGTTTGACGTGATTTTGCGGAACAAAGTGAAGACACAGACAATTCATAGCGTAATGAGGAACTTCCACTAAATAAAATTACTTTCTTTCGCTGTCTACTACTTCAATGAACAACGAAAATTTATTTCTTCTTCTTCAAAATACTATGGGGATGTCAGTTCATGGGCATCATGAATTTGTTTACTAGTATATCGAACTTGACGCGTCAGCTAAGAATGCTTTCGTTGAGGTTAAAAAAGCCATCCCACTTATATATTAGGATCTAATGCCACCATTAAGTATCACAGTTGATGCATCTAGCATTGCAATCGGTGCAGTTCTGCAACAACTGGTCAACGAGAAGTGGCAACCAACTGCCTGTTTCTCGAAACTGCTACGAACAGCAGGAACAAAGTAGAGCAAACAACTCATAGCTATGTACTGTGCCATACGCCACATCTGACATTCAGTCGAGGGTTGTGAATTCATAGTTTTCACAGACCGTAACCCCCAACCTTCCACGTACTCTCTGAACTCAACTTCAGACAGGTATTCACCAAGAGAATCACGCCAATTCGATTGCATTTGACAGTTTACACTGGATATTCGCCACATATCTGGGGTCAACAACACTGACGGATGCTTCATTGGGCGTCTATTCTCTCGTTCGAATGGAAGACATAGAGCTTGTGAAACTGGCTCTTCTTCAAAAAGAGGATATCCACCTTCAACATGAATTGTCGACAACTACTTTGCAGTTAACCAAGAAACCCTTAGGTATAGGTAGAGACACTACTCTTTGTAACATTTCTACAAGTAATCCATCCCTATCACGCCTAAAAGTTATTGCCGTAGTGTCTTCAGTACGTTAAACGGCTTATCTCACCCAGGTATTTGAAGTAACATCAACAGTTCTTTTTGCTGTTCTGGCATAAAGGCAATGGGTTCGTACGTGATTGGCTCTCTAAAACTGCAAAGTAAAGGGATATGCTAGGAGCCCTTATAGCACTTTTTTCACCCCAGATGCTCGCTACAAATGCGTTCATATGGATCTGGTTGAACTCCTTCCAGAATCTCATGGATATATACATATCTTGTCGTATACTGACCTTTTTACTCGATGATCTGGAAGAGTATCTGCTTAAGCGGCTCCACGAGTTTTTGTGTAATGATGGATCGCGAATTTCGGATGCTCATCCCCCATAGCAACTGGTCTTGGGCTACAATTCGTAAGTGGCTGATACTCAGTCTTCACTGGAATCTTTGGTTGTATACATTTCAAAACAATGGCTTATCATTCTCAGACAAAAGGTGTGGTAGTAAGTTTCCTCAGAAAGTTGAAGGCTGCGTTATCAGCAGCAAACTGTGCATTTCGGACTGAATTGCAATCCTTAATTTTCCTCAACAGATGAAACGCCTTGAAAATCCTTGCTGGCTGTATTATTGTGAGCAAGTTTATGGAACAACACTACGACTACTGGGTGATTTTGTTTTTTCTGTAACATTCCACCGGCTGTCGATCATGCCTCATACGTCAGCAGGCTCAAAAACGCACTGCGTCCGGTTAAACTTGCTCCGCCACAGTCGTAGTCCATATATACTTCTGTTCACCAGTGTCTAAAAACTTCTTCACATGCGTCTGTTCGTCGTGACTCTGCACGTTGCTCTCAAGAACTTACTGACAGTGAGCCATGTAAAGTCAGTGAGCATCAGCACAAATTCTTCGTCCCAGATAAAATAACCGCGAAAACTCTGTTAGTATCGGTTGTCTGAAACCGGGCCACTTAGAAAGCAATCCCGTGAGCGTTGAACCATTCGTTCCGAATAAAGCTCAACTGAAAGAGACTTGCTAGTACCCAACGATGCGGTAAGCACTGCAAAGGCGACCTGAGCCTCTAACAAGAATCAGAAGAAAATACGCTCTGGACGAACTGTGATATTCCCAGAGCAACTGCATATTTATCTTACAGGATAAGACATATGTAGCCAATCTTTTTAAATAAAGAAGATTTTCATGTTTAGGACACTTTTTATCATAAATCTGATGTAGATTTTATGGATGTACATGTAACGATCGCTGCCCGAAAAATTCCCCTCTGTGTTACACTTTCCAACATTCTTTGCGCGGTTTATGTATGTCCCGACTCAACCATTATTTTTGATAAACCTCTTTTATAAGGTTCTCGGGATTCTTGTTTTCTTCTCCAGGTGTGAAAAGAACTGAACAGGAAGCAAATGAAGCATGAGATCAAGTGGATGAACATTTATGATGCGAGGCATACATACTACATCAGCATAGGCAGACGACCAGTAGGCAACTAATTGCCGTCACATCCGCCGTGAGTCGCTATAGCATAGCTTGTGGTAGAGGTCCTACACCATCACACACTTCGGAAAGGTTTTATCAGTGGTGCTTCCATTAGTTTACCACCTCTCCCTGTCTTTTTTCGGGTCCTCACGACCTAATTAGGGAAGAAAGTGAGCACTAGCGGTAAATAATCCTGAAAAATCACTAGCTTACAGCATTAATCCCTCAAAACTGGATGCTAACCTTCACCGCTTAAGTCAACTTGCTAAGCCGAAGGGCTAGCGGCCAAGCAACAACGGCATTTATCATGCAACTGTGTTAAGTTATTCTGTGCCCTAGCCAGCCAAACACTCAGCTATAAACTGAGTGTTTGAGACCGAAATACTATAGCATTTCTCAAAGAAAATTTGGACTTTGGACGACAAAATCTGGTCTTTTGCTTTATCTTTGGTACTCGAAGAACAAACACTATAGAAGTTGTTGGTATAAGATCTTGCGTTAGTATAATCCGTATAACTCGCGAGCGTCGATACCCGCAGTCACCAAGCTGGTGAGCCCAACCACGAACTACATCTTCAATTCACACGCAGATAAACCCGGTGAGTTCGTTCCTTTTTGTGTTTATTCTTGTACTATATTGTTATCGGCATACTTTTCGTCATGAGTGATCCTAGCCC